AGCCACTATTTGTATTACTACAACAGCAGTTATCAAACTTTACGGTCTAAAAATCTGTTTACACTCTTACAAATTGAGGACTCCAAATAGCATGAATTAATATTTTATAAATTTTTTGATATTAATGACACAGTTCATTATACAACAACCTCCCTGTCCCCTCCCCCAGAAAAAAACCCTTTGTTAATATCACCATCACTCTAATCAGGAAAGTCTTTAAGTTTTGGGAAGCTGTTGTATTATTATTTATTACTACATAGCAAATTACCCCAAACTTAGCAACTGAAAACAACAAACTTTATTATCTCAGTTTCTGTGGGTCAGGAATCCAGGAGTGGCTTAACTGGGTCGTTCTGACTCAGTGCTTTTCAAAAGGTTGCAGTCAAATTGTTGGCTACACTGCAGTTGTTTTAAAGCTCAAGTGAGAGCTTTTCCAATTACTTCCAAACTCACTCATGTGCCTTTTGGCCTGCTTCAGAAGGTCCACTTCCAAGTTCACTGACACGGTCCCTTGTAGGCCTCGATTCCTTGCCATGTGCACTTCTCCATAGACTGTTTGAGTGTCCTCATGATGTGGCAGCTGGCTTCCCCCTCCCAGGGCTACCTCACAATGCGGCAGTTTGCCCCATAGCGAGTTATTCAAAAGAGGAGAGAGAATAAGAGAGCCCACTCAGGACAGAAGCCACAGTCTCTTTATAACCTTATGTCAGTATGACAGCTTATCACTTCAGTCACATCCAGTTCACTAGAAATGATCCAGCCTACAATCGAGGGGAGAAAAACTAAGCCCCACCTCCTGAGGGGAGCTGGATAAGACAACGTGGAGACGCATCTCCAAAGCTACCTCAAGTTGTTGTTCAAGGTGCCAGATGCAAGTTTTTCCAAATTTTAATGTTTGCTTTAAATGTCAAATTTCTTATGGACAATAAACATGGCCAGTTGTTTTCCCTGAAATGACAAGCTTACTTCTCTCATTTTTGAGAAAATATCTTGCCAAACACTCAAACCTGTATAACCATAGTTTCTCTGTTGGTCTTTCTTTCAAGTGAAAATGATATTCCATGAAAACAGCAGCTGTAGCTCACAGTGTGATCAAACATACTGTTGCTTTTCCTTGAGGCAATCATGTATTTTCAGTATGCAGCCAGGAGGGCTTTATGAGTACTTCCTATTACATCACACACAATATTAAAATGACATGCTGAAGGGTCAATATTTAATAGAATTAATAATTTTTGTTGCTTCATCCAGGATATTCTTAGATAAAACTAACTTTTTTGTTGTGGTTTGGATGGAATAGAATGCCCAGGACTTCAGACTGGGAATATCACTGTAGGAGGGGGCAAATCAGGAAAAGCTTCTTAGGGAAAGGTGTGTTAAGAGTGGCTGGGAATTACATTTAGATTAGCAGAGAGGAGAAAAGGTAGGTGGGAGAGGAAAATAAGCAAACACAGTGGGGCTGGAATAAAATGAGCACGTTATGTTCGGAAATAAAGAGAGGGGACATTGAGAGCAAGCTGTGGACTTGATTTGGGTACCTGTGAGGGGCACCAGCCTGGTAGCTTCACAAAATAGACTCCACCTGAAGGGCCAGTGTGAGAGAGGAAGTCAGCTTGAAGTCCAAGGGCATCTCAGTATTGCTTTCTAGCCAGAAATGCAGAGGAGTTTCCATGAAGCATGAAGTCACTTTTGACTATTTGCTACTCCTGAGGGCACCAACACTAGTCACATGCATATAGCTAAGTAAGAACTTTCTCCTCATCTTACTTTTCTCCTTCTCTCTTGCAGCTTTGTAAAGGCCAAAACCAGCCACTGAGAGGAAGAAGGGGTACTGAGAAGAGGAAAAGCAGCTGACTGTAGCTCCCTCTTTCCTCCACTATAGACTTCCAAGTCTGGAACAACTCGGAAAGGGAAGTTTTAAATGGAGAGAATTAGAATTTGGAATATTACACTGGACTGAACTCCAACTAAAATTTCATTTATTATCTGAGCACAAACACAAAACTATAACACCTACCTGATATTTCAATGGATGGAAATGGAGCCCAGGGAGTTGGAATGAACTGACACTACAAGTTTGAAGGACAGTGGGAGAAAAGAGATAGTTGCTTTCAGCTTGCACCCGAATGGGTTCAACTCCTTTACTAAACTGGTTACAGAAACTGTTCATTGGACACTTATTCTTGCCAGGCTGAAGTTCTGCTGGGCATGTTTTAATGAATGGACAAGATGTATTTTTATTTAGGGGAGTGGTGTTTCCAGAGTGATTGGGGCCTGAGGCTAACCTGAGTTTTGTCTTAGTAGCTGCTTAAAAAATGTGATGCATTATTAATATCATGGACTCTCAATTTCCTCATCAATAAAAGGAGATATATAATGTCTACTTCATGGTGTCCATAAGACATATAAAATATTGTCAATGAGATAAATATGTACAGTAACAGCGCCTGGTACATAGTGAGCATTCAATAAATGGTAACAATGATTGTGGTCATCATGATTGTACTTGGTTTAGTGATCTGACAAAATAGTAGTTTAGAAAAATTTACTAGGCATTAGCATGCCAGACAGATTGAAGGGGAATCAAGATCAGAAGCAGGGAAAAAATTAGAAACATAGAGTAAAATGAGGCTAAAGTAATCACAGGAACAAAATTGAGGTGAATGGACAAACATACGCCATATTTAAGAAGAAAATGAACAAAAGTAACTGTTTAGATATGGTAAATAAAGGTGAAGGAAGAGTCAAAGGCAACTCAAATTTTTAAAGCTTGGTTGGGTGGAAGAATAGTACAAATGGGAGAAATACAGACCAGCAGAATGAGCAGGTTAGGTGGGTGTGAGAGGTGGGAAGAAAGTATTAATTTTGTTTTGTTATATTTCAACTTTTGATATGGTGGGACTTCCAAGTGCAAACATCCTGTAGATGCTCAGAAAGTCATTAATTTGTTCATACATCTAATATTTCTTGTCAGCCTACTTGGTGTCAGACAACATCTAGGCTCTAGCAAGAAAAACTTCCTGAAACGTTGGAGTTTAAATGGGACATCTGGGCGAGATAGAAAGATCTGAGGACACTCAGCATAGAGCTGGTCCCTGAAACCATGAATATTAATCAGTTTTCCAATGGAATGTGTCAAGAAGAGACAATTTCAGGGAATATTCACAGTTAAGGAGACAGAAATAGGCAAAGGAGAACTAAACCAGGACCACATGTTGTAATTATTTTCCTATAAAATTGTTGACACCTATAGTTTATAAATATTTATGACAGAAAAAGTAGTTTCATAGTAATTCATACTTTTAAACTTTTCATTTTGGAATAATTATAGATTCACAGGAAGTTGCAGAAATAGTAGAGAATGTTCCTCTACCCTTCACCCAGTTTCCCCAATGACTAATCTTATATAACTGTGATACAATAGGAAAACCAGGAAACTGACATTGATGTGATCCACTGACTTTCTTCAGATTTCACCAAATTACATGCACTCATTTGTGTGTGTATGTGTATATATTTCTATCCCTTGTATCACAAGTATGGATTCAGGTAATTTTTCATCCTTAATTGTTAATTTTTTTCCTTTTTCCTCACTCCAGTTACTTACGTGATATAATGAATCCACACCACAGGAAGTCTTTTAAAGTATTTTTTGTAGTTTACTGATACTCTGTAATGGTCAAACAGCGAAATATAGCGAAGGTCATAAAGTTTAAAAAAATATTTAATTAGCAAGGAACTTGTATATGTTTTACATGATTGAATATATTGAGCCAGATTCTTCTGAAACATTTAGTCACACACTGTTCCCAAAGTTCTTTATCAGTAAAATGTGAGTTATGGTTTCTAAAGTCTTTGATAACCCCGCAATTTTATGATTTTTAGAATTCTAATTACTAGGTCACCTGGTCTCTTAATTTAAAGCAAACACTTGTGGTTATTACATCAATTCTTTTGATCAGGGTCAGTCTGATCCGTGGGACACAGTTAATCACTGTCGTATTGTAGTAAATAATACGCTGTTAGCCTGAATGATTTTAACATAGCTTCCACAGATGGCTGCACCCTCAAATGGGCTTGCATACATTAGGTAATGGGAGAACAACTAATAATTGCTGTAACAAACATAACATATTTTTTGACTGAAAATATTTGATATCCTGTTATTTTTAGTAATAATTTAAGTCAAACATGAACCATTTCAATTCCGGCAACATACAGCATTTTAGCATTGAGCCTCATTCCTCCTTAATGAAATAAAAGATTGTGATATTCTGACCTAAGTTAGGCAAGGAGGAAGTACCCTCTCTTTAGCCAATTGTTAAGAAGGTTAATATTTATAAATTGGACCCCTCCAAAAATCTGTAGTTAATTTCATGAAAATAGTAAAAGTTTTGTGCTTGGGCAAAAGTGTTAGTAGAAAACTCAGATAAGTAAGATTGGCATCAAAGTAGATATTTGGAAGCTGAGTAAACACCACTTTATAAAAATGGCCATGAGATGTAGACTTTGTACAATAGCTATGTTAGAAAGCTTGAAAAACTTCCTATGTCTTACATATTTGATGGCAACACACAGCAATAGTAAAGTTAGATTTCTAGTTCAGCAATGTTCTAGGAAAAAACCACAGTGGACTAAAGCACTTCACTAGGTTACTTTTACTGAATTAACGTAAATGGAGTATATTTAAATCCTTATGGGGTTACAGGGTTATTCAGTAGTTTGTTCCACTTAAAACTGTTCTAGTAGTTCCATTTCATGATACCAAGATTCTCTTAAGGGAAACTTAAGAAGACAAAGTACTTGCTCTTAGTCAACAGAATTGGTAGAGAAAAAAAGCTTCTCTGCAAGAAGTATAAAACATGATACAGTAAAACCCAAGTATTTAAAAATAATTATGGCAAAAAAACAAAACAATGTACAAAACACATGAATATATTTTTTCTCATGTCATTTTTAGATTTTTGGCAGAGAGCCTGAGCCCAATCTGAAGCTCTAGATCTAGTTTGTTTTCATATTTAAGAATAAGTATCCAGTTTGGAAATACCCATCGTGGGATGGAATGCCACATAAAGACCATTAGCTGAGCACTACTGGGCATTAACTCATGGAGGGAGGGCTGATTATCACCAATTTACAGATGCTTAGAGGCACTAAATGATTTTCTTGTATCACACGGCTACTGAGGGGTGGAAATAAGAATCAAGTCTGTCTGACTCCAAAATTTACTGCTGTTAGCATATTCTGTGTTAATACCTACAAATCATTCCTGTATCTTTATATAAACAGAGTAGAACCTCTACTGGTTCAGCCCTTTGCTACTATATATTGGATTTACTTTATTTATTTCCCGAAAAGTCATAATAAAGCACCATTTGTATTAAGTCAGATGACATTTTTATTCAATCAAATGAATCCAGATGTTTGAATATTATTTCCAAATATTCATTTGGAGAAGGAAAATTTAAGTGTAAATGGGGGAAACAGCATTTGTAACATACGTATATAACAAAAGGCTAAAGTTCACTTCATTTGGAATTCATAAATAAATAAATAAATATGCCACAGGGAAAATAATGACAAAGACAATCACAAAGGATTCCTCCATTTATGTAACACATATTTTCTTAATGCCTTCTATATATCCCATACTGTGCTTTGTGTTAGGGAGAGAACAAATAAGTACTTATTGACTTCTTGCCATATTAGTAAAAAATGGTTTATTTAGGATAATCCCATTTTGCAAAAACATGTTTATATATAAAACATATCTGAAAGTATATATATCAATAGGTTATTAAAGGGTGATCATATCTATTTGAAACAATAATGAACACACATATATCTATTATAATAAAGTTATATAAAAAAGTTTAAAATCTATAGGCACAAAAATTTTCTATTGTTTCACCTATTGTCCAGGGATCTTTTTAGTAATAAAAATACACTTCTTTTTTCTTATCCAGTGGAAGATGGATTCCAGCTGAAATGGATTCCTTCTTTTTTTTATACAAATATAATCCCACCTCTGGGTCCTGCCCCCGAGACACAACAGATACAAAAACATTGACAGATGGGTATGTACATGGAGACACAAATTCATGGACACACAAGTCTCCCACACAGCACACACACACTCACACATCATAGAAGCACACACAGAGGCACACAGCCTCATTAAAACTTACTTTGGTGTAAATGAGTTTGGCAGAGATCTGGCGGTTCAATTTTTGGAAACAGCTTAATTATTCTCTGTATCTCTTCATTTATAACCTCTGAATGTAATATTTTTCATGCTTGCATATTATAAAATACATAAATTATTTTAGTGGAAAGATAGCTATCTGGCCCCTTTTTGGGTTTTTGTTTTTGTGCCTCAATCATCTATTTGTCTGGGTACTAGACTATCTTGGAACATGTGACAGATGCATGGCTGTAGCAGCTGCTAGTCTGGCAGAGGACAAATAACTTTGGGAAGTCAAAATAGATTAATATGGAACAGTTGAAAGTAGACAGTAATTTTTTTCACTTAATTTAAAAATTCTTTTGTTTTAGACTCACATGTATAAAAGTGGCATATGTTGTTAATCTATAAGAAATAGTTTTAAATAAAATATAGGTATCCATTAATTGATTAATAAAATAAGGCATGAATTAGAGAGTTAAAACCAACCCCTACGATACATTCCATGTAAGTGTACATTATTAAATATTTCATTCATAAAAGTCAATAGTTCCATGGTAGTAGCATGTCAATTACTATTTTCTTATTTTTAATTGAAATACAGTTGATATAATTTTCTATTGGTTTCAGATGTATAACATAGTGATTCAGCAATTATACATTCCTAAATGTTCACCACGATAAGTGTAGTTACCACCTGTCAACATACAAAGAAATTACAATATTAACTATATTCCCTATGCTGTACTTTCATCCTGTGACTAATTTATCTTATAATTGGAAGTTTGTACCTCTTAATACCCTTCACCTATTTTACCCATCCCCTCCTCCCCTATGGCAAGCACCACTCTACTCTGTGTTTATAAGTTTGTTTCTGTTTTCTTTGTTTTGTTTTTTAGATTTTATACCTGAGTGAAATTACGTCTTTCTCTGCCAATGACTATTTTTTAAATATGTGTATTAATGGCCTAATATAATGAAAAGTTCTCTGATTTAAAAAAAGTTCACTATTAAAAAAATATATGTATTAATGGTTTAATTATAATGAAAAGTTCTCTGATTTTTAACTTTTTCAGTTTTATAACTATATACAGAGCAAGTAATGAAAATTCTCTTTAATAGTCCAATAATGGTCAGCTGGTAATAGCACTGATGAAGTACATTTCCCTAATATAAGTTTGAAAAAGTAAATAAATTAAATATTTATAGAAAGTCTGCTTTAAACCATCATTACAGATTTCTACTTGAATGGCAACAGACTAGATTGAATTTCACTGTAATCTAAGTTACCCAATTCTTTTTACCTCAGTGTAAGAAATTTCATTTTAAATGACTTTTTAACCTTTAATAACCGTTAAGAAACATGCAAATGTTAACTGAAATTTCAAATAAGACTTGATTTAGTCGAAACCTATCTCAAGAGTACAATGTTTGTAGTGTCTATGGTTTCTATTCAAACATAGTCTAAGTTTTCTATTACTCAGAAAACTTCCAAGATTTTCTTTTCTGATACTCTGGAAGGATTTATCTATCTCCTTACTTTTCCATTTCTGTAAGGATAGGAAGAAAAGCATGGAGGGAGAAAATGAGGAAAGACAAAATATTTCCTGCAATGCTCCGGGGTTCACTGATTGCTGAAGCACATCCATTGACCTCCTCCCATCCCCATGGAAAAAAAAATATTTTCCAAACCATTCCCCAGACCTTCTTCTGTTTATTAGTAATATATCTTTGACAGGTCACTTTATTCTTGTAGGCTATGAAGTCTTCTCAAATCAAGAGAGGACTTAGTTACTTCCAAAAGGAACTGCCCAACAGGTCAATTTTAGGTAGATCTCAGGCAGATCCTCTACTTTACATCAGAAAAGTAAATTAAGTTGTTTTCTTCCTTGCTCATTCAAGCATTCAAATAAATTCTTAATTGCTAATATTTCTTTAGTAACTAGAGAAGAGGGCAATTTATTCTCTTTTCAATATTATTTAAACAAAAATTCTGAATACATCATCCAAATTTTCAACAATATTTATTTTGTTTGATATATAATATCATAAAATTTATATATAAAATATATATTTATTTTTTGTTTAATATTTCTGCTTTGAAGTTAAAGAGACAATAAGCTTCTTGTTAGCAGGAACACGCCTTATCAATTTACTAGTATGACAGATATAATGGGGCAATGGGGGGTTTGGTTTTGCCAGTTTGTCTCTGTTGTTTTTGAACCTGGGAGTATTTTGACACAAAATCATTTTAAATAAAAATATTTAATATTAGTAACAAATAGTAATGAATCTTAGAATTCTATATTTAGCTAAATTATCATTCAAAAATAAAAGTGATATAAAGGCTTTTTGGACAAAAATCAGAATTTACCACAGATGGGGCACATTCACTTTTATTCTTGAATGATAATTTAGCTGAGGGATTTTAGAAGAAAGAAATTCCAAAGGATGGATGGATGTGAGAAGGAGTATTAATAAAAGTCTTCAATTAACACATGGTAAATATAAACAAATATTAACCTTTAAAATAATAATAAAGACAAAGTTTAACAATTAAAAAAAGAAATACTGTACAACAATTATATGTGAGCTGGGGGTGGGGTAGGTACATTCTATACATTGAATTACACATTAACTGGAGGACAGATCTTGTGGAGGACCTTCCTCTGCCTTCTTTGGGGTTTTTCACTCTCAGAGTGGTCTGCACTGAGCGTCCAGCAATTCTTCAATGACAATTCACATTTTCCTACCCTGGCTCAGATTTTGCGGTGGTTTCCGCAGCCAGTGTCTGCCCCGGTGCAGCTGACTACATATGCCTGAATCTTTGACCAAAAAAAAGGATTCATGTTCCTAATCATAGTATCTGCCTCACTTATACAACCATCTCCCAAGCCAGGTCAATGAGAAGTAATCTGGGACTTTTGCTGGAACTACAGAACAGAATCATAATTTACTAAGGAGTTGAAAAGCTGTTAGAATATTGTATAAGGAAATTGGAGCCCAGAGAGGTTAAATAACTTGTGAAATGTAAAACAGCCAGTAAGGATACAGCCAGTGTGGCCAACTCCAAAGACCAAGAAGACCAGTCCTTAGCACTGGGGCAGACTCATTTCACACTGTTCCATGGCTGCCTTTGTCTGTGGCTGTTTTCATGCACGGAACTCAGTGCTTCTGTGAAAGAAGAATTCAAATATGCCATGGGTTCTCCATGCTTGGCATCTAAAACTTCAAGGTCTTAATGTTCTTCTACACCCTGGGGAACGAAACGGTTCACAGAGCCACCATCTATCTTACAGACCAGATTACCCATACCCTTTTAATTCAATCAGAAGGAAAGAGAAGAGAAATTAAAGTCTGGCAACCCCTTCCTGTTAGACACCTAATGCATAAATTAGACTTTCTCCCCGAAACTCTTAAATCTCCAAGTGTTCTATAAATGTTGCAGGTGAGAAATTTTAAAAATAAATTTCATTATAACAGCTTGATTCCAAGTTTGGACTCTCAGAGGAACATGTTTTTACAAAAACTGCCACTGCAGCTCAGTGGTCAACAGAATTGCAGTTAGACGTTATAAACTAGATTAATAAAGATATTTTTTAACTTCCAAAAAAAATAAATTACACATTAACTGATAAATAATTAACATTCATATGATGTAAAATTATTCTATTCAAGAACACATGTGTCCCATTAACATTAATACATTTTCAAAGATGCTGCAACAATATGTCCCATCCCACGCCCTGTTCTACAAAGTGTCTTTAGCATTCAGCTCATTAAGAAACAGGGGCTCTGTCCTCTCCCCTTTCATCTGAGCAGGCTTGTCACTCTTTGTAATGGATAAAATGTAGCTGAAGGGATGCTGTGTGGATTCAAAGACGCTGTGTGGGTTCAGTTTCTTCTTTGTTCAGTGTGGACACACACTTCTGTAGCCCTGAAGAACCATGCAAGAGAGCCAACTACTCTGAGGCCTACACTGTGAAGAAACCACAAGGAGAGAGCATGTATGTGCCATCCGGTTGTCCCCCAGCTGAGTCCCAGCCAAATATAAGCATCAGCTTGTATGATGAAAATGCCTGCAGATGACCCCAGGCCCTGTCACTGGACTTCTCAAAGCAGCTGCATCGCTGCAGGCATTAGGGTCTGTCTACCCACCCGAGGCCTCAGACGCCACGGAGCAGAAAGCCATTCCTGCTGCGTCCTGTCACAGTCTCTGACCCACAGAATTTATGAGTATAATAAAACAGCTGTCTCAAGCCACTGTTGTCAGCATATTTTACTTGTTATTCTATAAATAGTAAGTAGAGGAAAGATGGAATGCCTTTTCATTGGTTCAGTTCTTTTATTGTTTTTCTTACTAATGTTGAAACTTTTCTTTGTATAGATCTCATACATTTCTTGCTAATTGCATTCCAACAGATTTTATTCTTTTTGTTGCTATTGTAAATGGAATTTTTAAATTACATTTTCTAACTAGATAATATATGTTATATATTATCTATTAGATTATTATATTATCTATTAGACTTTATATATATGTTAGTTACATTTATTTGTTCCCCAATCAATTTACTTAATTTTCTTATTGTTTTAGTGGTTTTCCTATGGATTTTCTTGGGATTTGCAGGCATAGAGTCATAGCATGAAATGATGAATGTATTTCATAGCATGAAATGATGGATTTATTCATTTTTTCCATTTCTTATGTTCCTATTTTATTTTTCTTTTCTATTTGTCTTAGGCAATTTAAGTTCCATACATCCTGAGTCTACTTATATGTATTATTTTTAGGTGGTTAAAGTTATCAAACTTAAAGTTATCAAACTTTTATGCATAAGTTTCCTGAAGAATGGCCAAATGAAGATACCTAGACAATTAGATATATAGGCCTGATGCTCAGGAGAGAAATATGGAACCTAAGAGTTTGAAATTTGAGAAATTACTATCTAAACAACTGTAGAAGCCATAAGAATAGGTGAAAGGGAGGAACAATCTACAGCCTAAGAATAGAAAGTGTCTAGGACAGAGCCCTAGGAAGCACCAGCACGGAGAAGGTGAGAGCAAGGTAACCCCAGCAATGACCAGCAGAGAGGAAGAAAAGAGCAAGGAGAGTGCTTTTTAACAAATGAAGCCAAAAAAGATTAGCAAAGTCTTGAGAAGCCTGAGGAGAGTGTTCAGTTTGGGAGATAGGAAGGTCGTCGGTGACCTTGAGAATAGCAGTTTGGGGTGGGAGGGACAAAAACGAGCCTGTAGTGAGTTGACAAATGAGTAGCATGTGAGGAAGAGCCTCATTTGTAAACAACCTTTTGAAGAAGTTTAGCTTCATTGTAAGAATAATAGGACTTGCCAAAGTCACTGAAGGGAAAAATCAGCATTAAGTATTTTTATTTATCAACAAACAGGAAGAAGATGAAATAGGAAAATGATTTCTTTTACAATAATATCTAAAAATACAAAGCACTAGGAATAAACCAAAGACAAGCTCTGTAATATGTCTGTGGAGAAAAGTACAAAACTCTTACTGAAAAACATGAAAGAAGACCTATATAAATGGGGGATATACTATGCTCCTATTTTGAAAGGCTAACTAAATATAGATTTAATGCAATCTCAATTAAAATCACAACTAATTATTTTTTTGTGTGCGTAGAACTTGAGAATATGACTCTAAAATTTACAAAGGATTACAAAGGGCCAAGAACAGGCAAAAGACACTTGAAAAAATAGAATTGGGTAGAAGTAGCTTTCTTAACACTATAATACATAGACAGCATGGTAATCCCACAAGAGCCAAATGAACCAATGGAAAAAGCACAGACCTAGGGCATTTATGGATACTTAACATGAAACTGGCAGCACCGCAGAGCAATAGCAAAAGGATACTCTTTTCAATAAATGGTGTTTGAACAACTGGATATACCTATAAGAAAAATAAAATTGCATACCTACTTTGCATCATATACAAAAGTCATTTCCAGGTAGACCAAAGACCTACATGTAAAAGGCAAAATATAAAACTTGAAAATCATATAGAAAAAATTTTATATTCTGAGGCTAAGGAGACATTTCTTATGTAAGACAGAAAAAGTCCTAACTAGAAAGGAAATACTGACAAATATGACTTCATTCAATTGAAGAACTTCAGAAAAATAAGAAAGTGAAAAGATAAGCCACAGAATGGGAAGATTTATTTGTAACAGATAAAGCCAACAAAGGACTATAATCTATAATAAATAAATAATTCTTGATCAAGGAAAAGAGATTACCTGATGCAAAAACAGACAAAAGACTTCAACAGATACCTCATAAGTGAAGAAATCCAAATAGCCAATTAAATCAACATTATTATTTGTTAATGCAAATTAAAACCATAATGACCCAACTTCCCAGAAGAGCTGGCAAAAATTCAAAGGTCTTAAGATAATGAGATGGTTACTTTGGTGAAGATGTAGAGTAACAGAATCACTCATATACTACATGTGTGGTTTAAACTGGAGCTACCACTTTGGGAAAAATTGTTTGGAATTATCTCATAAAATTAAATGCATGCAGCCCAGTTTGAAAAAGACAGATGCACCCCTATGTTTATTGCAGCACTATTTACAATAGCCAAGAAATGGAAGCAACCTAAATGTCCATCAGTAGATGAATGGATAAAGAAGATGTGGTACACACAATGGAATATTATTCAGCCAATAAGAAGAAAACAAATCCTACCATTTGCAACAACATGGATGGAGCTAGAGGGTATTATGCTCAGTGAAATAAGCCAGGTGGAGAAAGACAAGTATCAAATGATTTCACTCATATGTGGAGTATAAGAATAAAGAAAAACTGAAGGAACAAAACAGTAGCAGAATCACAGAACCCAAGAATGGACTAACAGTTACCAAAGGGAAAGGGACTAGGGAGGATGGATGGGAAGGGAGGGATAAGGGTGGGGAAAAAATGGGGTTATTATGATTAGCATGTATAATTAGCATGTAGGGGGGGCATGGGGAGGGCTGTGCAACACAGTGAAGACAAGTAGTGATTCTACAGCATCTTACTACACTGATGGACAGTGACTGTAATGGGGTGTGTGTGGGGGACTTGGTGAAGGGGATAGCCTAGTAAACATAATGTTCTTCATGTAATTATAGATTAATGATAACAACAACTAAAAAATTAAATGCATGCATATTTTATGATGTGGTAATCCCAGTCCTATGTATATGCTGTGGAGAAAATTGCACATATAGGTGCCATGTGCAAGAATGTTCATAGCAGTATTATTTATAAGAAATAGCTCCAAACTGGAAACAACATATATATTCATCAGCATTAGAATGGATATAGAAATAATAGTACATTCATGTGTAAGAATACTATACAGCAATAAAAATGAATGAATTGTTGTTATATGTAACAATATGGATGAAACTTCTATAACTAACACTGAACAAAGGAAATATGACACAACAGAACATATATACCATGACTCCACTTATATCAAGTTCAAAAGCAGTCAGCTATATTCTCTAGGATGGCACACTTGGGTAATGATAAACTCAAGCTGCGTAATTGAAGACTGTCTAACAAAAGGTGTAGGCAAAAGGAAAATCTACAAAAATTGGTGCAGTGTCCTAGAGTTATACTAGCAGAACCACCCCTAGGCCTGAAAGGGTAAGCAGTGGGAGCTCAGAGGGAGAGAATTGAATGAAGAGGTACTCACAGGAATTGTGACCTTTGGTTGGTGTGATGGTTAATTTTATGTGTCAGCTTGTCTGGGCCATGGTGCCCAGATACTTGGTTAAACATATTCTAGATTTCTGTGAAGATGTTTTTAAATATAACATTCACATTTAACTAAGTGGATTTTAAGTCAAGTAGGTTACTCTCCACAACATGGATGGCTCTAATCCAATCAGTTAAAGTTCATAATGGAACAAAAACCGACCTCCCTGAAGTAGGAAGAAATTCTGCCAGCAGATGGCCTTTGGACTTACAGGGAGGCTCTTCCCCAGTCTCCATAGCACTGGCCTACCCTGCAGATTTTGGGTTTACCAGGTCTCAACAATTGCATGAGCCAATTCTTGAAAATAAATCTCTTTCTCTCTCACATATATATATGTCAGTTCAGTATATGTGATATATTCGTTTAGTGTTATACACACACACACACACACACACACACACACACCACACACGCACATCCTGTTGGGTCTATTTCTCTGGCTAACCCTGACAAATAAAGTTGGTGATAAAACCAGCCCAGCTAGCCCTTGTAGAGTGTCTGTCGGGGAGGAGCCAGGCGAGGGAAATATCCTGCCTCATTCTGCTCCCTCTGATTTCCCTGTTGACTAAAAGCAACTGGAAGCCAGAGGTCAAAGGAGCCTGTTGATAAACTTCATACAAGCTAGCTTCCCAGGATGCCAGGAGCTGCCTTTCTACAGAGCAGGGTAGGGAAAAGAGTGGGCCTAGACAGGAAAAGAGACTTACAAACTTATAAAAAAATCTGAGAAAATTTATAAAATTCAGAATGGTGGTGACTTCTATAGGGATGAGAAGGGAATGATCCATAAGGGGTGCAGAGGCTGAGATACTCCCACAATTTGAATGGTGGTTAAAGGGTGTTCGTTTACCATTTTTCATTAAACCATACATTTATATTGTGTACTTTTTGTATATTTCAAAATATATAATTTATAATTATATATGTATATAATATATATATAATATATAATTTAAAGTTTAAAGAAAATTGCTGAATAATAAGAACTTGAATAATATTGGAATTCTAAAAGTCACAATAATTTCCCAGGTAAGCAAGTCTGTAGCACTTAAAACAAGTCCGTTTGAAACACTAGAAATTTGTGATAGACAAGCATACAAGTCCTGACAAATGAAAGGATTAAAAGAACTAAAAGATATTTCCTTTTTTTTAAAAAAAAAAGTTGCTTCACTAGATGGGAAAGAAAAATAGTAGCTAGAGACTTGGACATGTTTAAATGCTGATAGTAAGAACAGTCAAGAGGTAAATGTTGAAGACACAGGAGAACAAAGAGGAAAATACATGGAGTACAGTCCTTCCAGTGTCAGAAGGGGAAGCACACAGCTCTACCACCGGAATTTAGCCTTAAATAAGATGAGGGATATTTATTGCACTGTGACTGAAGGAGAAAGAAAAGCATGTATGTGGCTGCGTATAAATTTGTCAGCCTAGTAGTGGGAAGCTAAGGAGAGTTCCCCATCTGATGCTTCCTTTTTCTTTGTGACTGAAAACACAAGGGAGGAGAAGGGGGGAAGAGATGTCAAAATCAGAGATGCGGGATGGTGAGAAGGCTTGAACCACTTTGGAGAACAGGCGCACTAAGTAGGTTTGCCGAAGCAGTACTGAATGCTCGGTTGGACCTGGAGGCCATGAATGTGTAGTACCATCAATCTGCACAGTTTTGTGACTTTCTATAGTAATATTTAGCAACTCGGATATGGGCACAGAAAAATTGGACACCTGAATAAATCCAGGGTTGGGGTTTTGGACTGAAGGACAATAGAACAAGGGATGTGAGGGTAGGGACAAGAGATGCACTGTGAAATCTCAAATGGATAGGGAAGGAAATGAAGAAAGAAGAGGGCTAGCTGAGACTGAGGAAGCAGAAGGGTCAAGAGTTTGGAGGTTCTGTGAGAACATGAGCAGGGAGCAACTGAGTGATGCAAACCGAAGACAAAGAGGCTGAGATTTTGTAAGGGTGATTCATGTGGACGTGGACATCACAGAGGATCGGGGACAAATCTGAAGTAGAAAGAAAAACAGTGAACAGTGTATGTGGGAGGGGGATGTTGACCAGGAGGTTGCTAAGTGACAGCAAGTTGCCAAGTGACAGGTGAGTATAGTAAACGTCTCTCTCAGACCTCAGAACAGAAGTTCTTCTGAGGAGGATGGAGGGTAGTGGCCTGGCTCTCCCTCTTCACTCCAACTGGAATTTCAGAAGGTAGACTAGAGAGGTTTGGAAGGAAGCAAAGCATGGGCAAACCCAGATGACCAGGGTAAGTTACAGAATTCTAGAAATGCCTGATACTGAGTAAGTGGAGGCATTGGTTGCCTACATGCCCAGATTGCTTTGGAAGACTTCAGGTTTTCAGGTCACTCGCTGACAAGAGAATCTAATAGTAAAAAACACATAGGCATTACACACACTTGTTTGCATACCTGTTCAGTGAGTTATCAGATTCCTTTGAAGCTCCAGGTCAAGAACCATATTTAGAAGTTGGCTTTGTGAATGTGGCTATTGATCTTTGCAGCTGATTTTATCGTGCAGATATTTATTTGTCTCTCCTAGAAGGCTGAACCTGGCAATCAAAAGAGAAAACTTCAGAAAATTGATCAAGTCATAAATTGGCACAAATTTCCCCTTTACTCTGGAAAATAATGTCTCTGTGACAATTCAGGGCTGGCATTAATTCTAATTAAAGTGTTTATTTATACATGCAAAGCATCCTTGGGATCAAAATGACCTTAGGTGCTTAACAAATGTTTGTTGAACTGAAAAGATAATAACAGGTTTCTCCTGTATACTTTCCTACAGGGAAAAGAAGGTGTTAACCATGTGCCATAAGTTTCTAGGCTTTTTGAAAGTTACTTTTCTCATTATAAGTGAGTAAACTGGTAATCTAGTTTACACACTGGCCTCTCGTGCATTGGGTCAGCACACATCTCGTCCCTGGAATATGATCAACTCTGGGCACTATGACAAAATAAAGTCTCTGAACTTGCAAAACCAAGGAATGAGCCCTGGAAAATGTGACTTGACTGAGGCAATGTCATCCTGAAGCTAGCCTGAGCAGCCCAGCTGGCCTCTCCCTATGACATTTCTAGCTTGGTTATTTAGAACAGTGACTCCATTTAACTGGAGTTGACCTCCTGCGGTAAAAATCTTGGAGACCATAATGAAGTTTTAGCAAAACATTGTTGTAATGATAGTTAATGCAAGAGGACTGAGTAATTTATTAGAAATCATAGGGCATTAATAAAATACACTGGCTGAAAATGTCTCCTAAAACTAGAGTCTAGCATGGGGAGTTAGGAACAATGTATGATTTGTGACTGTTCATGGGTAGCGACCTAGTTACAGACTGTTCCATTTTAAGGCTACGGCTAGTGAGCACTAAAATGCTTGTAACAAAACAAAACAAAACAAAGCAAACTCTGCTTTTTTGTCATTTTGTTTTGTTTGTAGAATATTATACTTCATTGTTTCTTGTGTTATGCCAGGGCTGCACATTTCTGAGTGTCTCATTCTTTGCATAGAATCATAGATTCTTCCCACCACTCAAAGGGTTAGATATAATAACCAGTAAAAACAGGAATTTTCCAACATGGCAAACATTCCAAATAATCAGTAACAATTACTGATTATTCTTTTGTTTCTTTTCATTAACAAAAAATAGTTTCTAAATACGCAGTTATACGAAATGTCATTTTTTGCCAGATGTCACTAGAAGTGAAGAGTTTTCTTCTCCCTCAGAATTTAAGTTCTCCTTATGATTTGTCAGTTTGGTCATAAAGCAAGGGACATGAAAGAAAAATCACAGTATAAACATGCATATCCTTCCATTTTACCTGGTGGTAAATAATCCTCACTTTTATGTTAAATCAACAAGGATACACTATGGCTTAAAGGCAAAATCTGAGACTTAAAAAAATTCCTGGGCTTGGAGGGGGCGATTTATGTTGCAACCTTCGCAGGAGTTTAGGGATGGCAATGTTGTGGGGGGTTGTCCAGATACCTCTTTTTCAGGGGCTATTTCAGTGGAAAGGTTGAGAAGCACTGCTTACCATGAGGATTAGTCCAGAAACATATTGGCTTCTTTCTCCCACTTATCACTTCCTTGAGAAAGGTCTTAGTACATTTTGATGTAGGCTGAATCGCTCTCATCCCATGTTGGTCCTAAAACTGCAAAGAGCTTGTAACCCTAGAACGCCCTGAGGAAGAACACTGAGCCAGCCTTCCCACTAGCAGAAATGATAACCTGCCTGCAGGAGTGCAGGCAGTTATCAGCTGGAAAGGAGGTTTGGATCTGGCTACAGTGGGGAAAGAAACTGCCGGTACAGCTGGAGAGATGATAATAATTACACAAATCCAGATGACTTAACTTGAATGTGAGAGGAGAGAATATTAATCAAAAGTAATATTGAAGTCCCAGATTGAGATTTTAAAATTTGAATGGGCTCTAAAGAGGAGTGTAGGGACCAAGGGTAGGCTGCCCAAGACGTGCCATTGAAACATGCAGATTATTGAGCTGAAAATCGTCAAAGCCGGAAAGACTCAGAAAGAAACTTTGAACTCCCTCCCCCACCCCCTTCCTAATCCCACAACTGCATAAAAATAATTTAGATGGAGGAACTACTCCAGGGAGAAGTAAACTTCCTGTGGTAGACAGGGAGGGATGTGGTTAAGGCTGTTAAAATTTCTCTTTGTGCCTCTCATTATTTCTGTGTGGCCCATCAAGTATTTTGTTTATCAAACATTTATTCTTTCATATTCCTGTGAATTACTTCCCTTTTCTTTCCAAGTCTCAGACCCCTACCCATTTCTCCTTGGTTAGGGGTCTGAGATATATATCTCATTCCTCCTGTCTTTCAAACCCATGTCTGTGGCTTCCCTGTATGTAGGTAATTAAGCTTTGTTTTTTCTCCTTTTAATCTGTCTCATGTCAATTTGATTATTATACCAGCTAGAAGAACTTCAAAGGGTAGAGGACATTTCTTCCTCCTCAACAGGAGCATAGTATTGGTAGGAATGTGCCCAAGGGGATCTCTGGAAAAGGTGAAAATCAGGAAAAAAGGAAGATAAAAAAAATTTAAGATAAGTCAAAAATTTTAAATGCCTCAGCTGGTTGATCCGTTAGAATGCCAAAAAGGACTATGCACCAAGGATAAAGCTGCCAACTTAATAATTAATCAGCTTGAATGTCCTCAGAAAAAAAGACCTCTAAGAAAATTTCTATTGCTTTTCATTATAAAATAGAGTTTTTAACTACAGACAGCATTATAGACTCAGAACTGAAACGTAAAAAGCAAGTTGAGAAAAATAAGGATCCAAAGTATTAAATGAGGGCAGATTAAGTCAGGTGAAGTGGCATATGACAGCCGTTGAATGAAAAGTGAGAACATTTCAAAGCATGCTTGTGAAATGCTCAGTTGGGATAATGCCCAACGGATGGCCACAGCAGAGATGCACCTACCTGAACACAGCAAGTAAGAGGAGTATAAGAGATGGGTAACTCTGAAGGGGAATTTACCATTGTGAATCGCACCACTTTTAGTACAGTTAAAACTAGTGCCAGATTATAGTAATATTGAAATAAATCTGTTTTAAATGTATTTGAGTTCTTCAAAAAGAAGACCTATCAGCAGAGTATTACACTATTTAAATCTAATAACCTACATTTCTGTATGGCTCCAAATGGAAAAATTGCACAAAGTATTAAGATAAATAAAAGATATAATTAGTAGTGCTGATAATGATTATTATATATTTATATTTTCAAGAACTAAATAACAGAGCAGGAATATTAAAGGGTGAACAACCAGAAGTTTTTGAAGTTCAATGCTGGTAGAAATAGGCAGTCCTCTTTCAAGGGAACATATGTTCTGGTATTTTTAAGTAACATTTTAACTGGAAAATAGAACGGTTGTTTGACATACATGATTGGGCACAATAATGGAGGTGGGCAGATAATATAAATCTAAACAAACAACATTTGAAACCTTTTCTGAAAGAGCTTAGGGTAGTTAGATTTTGAAAATAAGCGACATTTTGGATTCTTGTTTTGGCTTCTCCAAACAGAATTGATGGTATTGCAGCCTCACAATTTAGAAGAAAACTGTTGGCTAGTTCTCTGGGAAGAATGGCTCAGGTAATAAAGCGAGTAAAGTCAACTTTTTTTTTAAATGACTGTATGGTTACTGATCCTGGTACATGACTTTAAGTAAGTAACTCTTATGTGAAGTACACCCAAGCTCCTGTTGTTTAAAAAAATTAAAAGAAACAACACTAATCCTGAATTAAAAAATCTTTTGTGTGTAAATTTGCACACTTTATCTCTCATTAAACTACTTAATACAATGCAAATACATTTTTCCCTGTGTGGATTTCTAAGCAAGTAGGTCTCCACTTTGTGCTGCCTTCATTCTCCTCTTTGCTTCCTCTCTCTCAGCCTCCCTCGCCCCAGCAGCCAGCCTGGATGCCTGGTTCTGCTTCTTGGCACCACTACAGTGTCCTTCTAAGCTCGCTCTTTTATAGAGTACAGCCTTAGGCACCAGACTGGTAGTCTCCAAATTTTTTTGACCGAGCACCCTATCAGAAAGAGTTTTGAGCACACCCTCAATATCTTGATAAATTACATGCATATATTACTGTTGCATTATGAATGCAATAAAACATACTGAAACAATTTTTTCACTAGATGAGATAAAGATGAAGTCATATTTTAAATATATTAAAATATATTAATAATAAATTTTTATAATTTTCTTTAAAATATGACTTTCTCTAAAATAATTAAATATGCTTCATTAGTTTTTAAATCTTGGTTTATCATTTGTGATACAGCAATGCAGATGTCTGCTTTTGTGTTGAGTTTATTTTAAGACTCACTGAAAGAGCTCACAAAGACATGTGGATTTAAATGGCAGAACTGCTTCACTAGCTGGGTTACTAAATCATAATACTCAATTTTTTCAGTCCCTTACTCATGGAAAGATTTTGGTTGAAATCTGATGAATACATTTCCATCTTGCCTAATGCAGCTCATTTGTTCCTGCAAACTAATCAGAAGGTGCTGTACGTTTTTACATTTTTAACAAATGGCTTCAAAATCTATAATTTATTTTGAAAATGTTTAAATGGGGTTAAAAGTCCTGTAAGGTACAAGTTTTTATACTTTAAATGTGTTGTTTTCCATCACAAAGATTACATTACAAAGGAAATATTTCTAAGCATCAACATAGCATAGCAGGTAAGGGACTAGATAGACCCTGCAGCCAATCCTTGAAATTGGCATCCCAGCTCCTTTACTCACTACTGTGTAGCTGTGGGCAAGTTACTTAGCTTCTCTGTGCCTCAATTTCCTCTCCTGTAAATTAGGATAGAAACAGAACCTACTTAATAGGGCTGTTATGATAATTACGTAAGTCAGTATCAGTAAAACACTTAATATCTGGCTGTAATAAGTATATTTAAGCATGCAATGAATTTTGGGGAGAATTTTCATGCCCTGCTGCTGAAAGTGTAATAATTAAAATGACATTTGAAATCAGTTGGCTATTACCTACTAAAGTTGGACAT